GAGATCCTAAAGAGCCGCTTATGCAGATCACTGAGAAAAGCCGTCTTTTCGGCTGAGACCTACGGATCAGTTTTTACAGCCGACAAATGATTAATGCATGTATGAAGGATTAACTTCCGCTTTGGGTCACTTCAGTATGTGTTGATAAAATATTTATTGTTCCTGTGGAGCTACCTATATTGGCCGCACAAAGCGCACGCTTTCTAAACATTACCCAGTATGGTTAGCAAAAGGTCAATGCAAGACAGTTACTTAGTGAACTCAAGCCACACAGCTTCACCACAGTTATCTTTCAAGATTACACACAAGATAAGACAAAGTAGTACAAAGGGCATTTGTGTATGGCGGAGGCGTTGGCAATTCGTCAATACGACCCCGAACTCCGAATACAGAAAAAAGTTTGTCCAGTCTCTTATATTCTCTCATGGTCTTAACCTCTTGATTAGCCGTTCCCTTGATTTTTTTAAAATTTACATTTAGTTTAATAATAAATTCACCATTATCACTCTCATATATTCCTTTTGTACATTTTCTCACCCTCTTCGCACTTGTTAAATCGAAACTCAACTGACACCTTTCTTCTCACTCAGTAGCAATTTTAATCTTATAAATTTATATCCTGTTTTAATTCTAACATCCGGCAGATTCAATTGTTGTGAGAGCTGCCTGATAGCCAAAATTGGTAGACAGAAATTTACGTCAATGTTTACGTCCCATATCTTAGTCATGAGAAGAGAACAAAAACAAAGACTAACTCAACAACCAATCACAGTAGACTTAGCGTGGGTGGATACGATCAGCAGATATACGGTCTGACCTTCAAAGAAACGGCCACAAAGAGATGACAGATTAACTTACAGCGAGAAAACAACCAATCAGAAGACGCCGTTTCTCTGCTAACAATAACGAATAATAATGTACATAAAAATCTATCAATATCCGTCGATTTCCTCAACAATCTGTTGACTGGTTCTTGTCTTCTATCATTACACAATAAACAGCATATAAAATGAATAATTACCTGAAATACCTAACTTCTCTAAAACATTTGTTCGTGTTACACTTTCTACAATCCAGTCAAGCATAGTTGCACGATCTGTCAATCGGATAGGCAGGCAATAATGTGATAAACCAGCTGGGAAACCAGTTTTTAAACATTTTATCATAGTATCAATACTGTTAGCAGCAGCAGGGGTGGCTGTGGATGATTGCAACTGATCAGTGGGATTGATCTTTTCGGTAGAGTTGCCTTTTTCACCTCCACCTTGCTCTTCTGCTTTTTGTAACGGATCATTTGAACTAATAAAAACGGCGTTTGATGAAAGTGCAGCACGGCGTAACTTCAAAACATCTTTTGTCATTGTTGCTGAATATAAATACGTCTGTGGATGTGGATATTTCGCTTTGATAGGATTTATTGATGCTTTAAAAGTATTTGTTAAAGTATTACCTGAAAAAAATTTGTTTAAGTTAAACGTATTAAATTTCTGGCGGAAATTTAAAAATGCTACTAGCAAGAGAAAATACGGAAATTAAAAAGCAAATAGATTAGGAAGTATGAAATAACGCAGAGTTGATCAATGCTATCAATAATTATGTGACAAAGGTTTTTATCTAAACTAACACAGAGTAATAATGAAAATTAAAACAATGAGTCCCTTTGATAAATTTGAATAAGGCATTAAGAAGACGAATTTCGCGAGATGATATGTGTTCAATTGACATAGAATCTTTATTCACCATTGTTCCCCTTCAAGAAACTGTTGATTTCATTTGCGATTACATCACAAGAAATGAGACAAACTTACCTATTCCTGTAACTTACATCAGAGATATCATCTTCATGTGTACAGAAAATATTAGATTCGCCTTCCAAGGAAAGGCATACAAACAAATTGATGGTGTTGCGATGGGGAACCCTCTTTTCATGTCGAAATTGGAGAGACAAATGCAAGCTATGCTTGGAGAATTTATACTGTATAAGCGTTATGTAGATGATACTCTCATTATCGGTAATAATAGTAAATCTGTTGAAAACTTTATCACCCTAAGTAATCATACTCATCCAAATATTCGAGTGACTTCCGAACTAGAATCGAACAACAAACTCGGTTTCCTGGATATTACAATGACTAGGAGAGATGATGGAACGATTCAGCAATCTATTTTTCGTAAACAGACATGGAGTGGGCAATATCTTCATTTTACCAGTTTTGTTCCTATCCAGTATAAAAGTTCCCTAGTGCGTGAAATGTTTGTTCTCAAAGGCCCGAAAAATATGCACGAGTGACACATTAATGGATGATTTTTGACACATACATTCAGTTTTATTAGCTAATGGTTATCCGGTAAACTTTATCACTTGTTTCAGTAAAGAAAAACCACATTTCGAAAAGACAGCTTCTGTACCAAAGAAAGCTATCTTTATTAACCTACTATTCAAGGGCGGCCAGATTATGTAGTTGACAGCTAGCTCAAAGACCTCGGTCAACCATCAAACGCACATTCTACGCCACCACATCTCTTTTTCTGACCTGCCGAACATTTTCGATCCCTGTACCTACCTACGACTAAAGGACGAAATTCTGTGAACTCTACTCCAAACTGTATCTACAAGTTCACCTGCAACTGCGGTGACGCCTATATAGGTAGAACCAACAGAATGTTCCAGTGTCGCGGTCGGAAAGAACATGTTCCAAAATGGCTATTAAATCATGTCGAAAATCCCAATGCAATCAATCTGAATAGAAATCCAGCATCATCATCCATTGCAAAACAGTTATTAATGTGTCAGGTCACAAAATCAACATCAATGACTGTTTTACAATTATTTCACCACATAACTCTAATTCAACGTTATTGAAGGGGATGGAAGCACTTTGGATTAATCACATACAGCCTAAACTGTGTGTACAAAAATCTATAAACTTCAACCTTCGCCTACCATGGACAACATGACCTATTTGAATATGATTGGTTATTAGTATGTACTTTTGTTTTTTACTTAACTGAGTAACTGTCATGCACTTTATTTTATTTTATTATGGTTAACCACGTTAGTTGTAAAGCGGTTGTAAAGAAACTACGAAATGATGATATCATCTTGCGGCGAAATTTGTCTTTTTAATGCCTTATTCAAAGAGAGTAATAAATTGAGATTGTAATTTCGTTTTCTTTTCGGAATTAAGTTAACCATCTCTTAGTTACACAAATAGAGTTGAATATTCAAATTTGTATTACTTGTTTGATACAACAAATGGAAATCAAGAAAGCGAGCATAACATTATAGTGATATATACTATTGATTGATTTGAATAGTTGGGAACCGCTGATGTCAATAGTGCTTGTTACCAAGGTGACAAACTTAGCCCTAAACGTGAGAAACAACCACCTAGTGTTCTAGATCATTTCAATCTGGTCAATAACCTGTTCTAATTGACAGTATCTTTCTTTTCTTCAATCAGCAGATTCCACGTGATCGAAGATCAAGAAAAAGTCGAAATAAAGGGAAAAACCGGATTCTGAAACATATCTCCAACTTTCAAATAATAGTTAGGGTGAGGACAGGTACTCACAGATGACACTTTCAGACAGCAGTAAATTCTCGAAACCAAACGAGAAAAACAAGACGAAATTAATTGATAAACTTAACGAAGCTTTAAAGAGAATGAAGAACAATCATCTTAATCGTGAAGAACTGTATAAAAAGATCAGACCAACAGGATCTCTAATACCAAGACTTTATGGTCTACCGAAAATACACAAAGCTGGCCTTTCACTCCGCCCTATCTTGGATATGTCTGGATAACCTTATCATCCAGTAGTTGGGTGGTTAGCTGAAATCCTCGAACCTGTCAGGGGACAACTATCTAATTATTTCCTTCGGGACACCTTCCAATTTGTTAAATGTATACAGGATATAAATGCGTCGAATAAACATATGTTGTCTTTGGATGTAGAATCCCTATTTACGAACGTTCCACTGACAGAAACCATATGTTTTATATGCAAATATATTGAAGGGGACTTAGCTTCCGATATCATGAAACGAAGGATATCACAGTCCCTGAAAAGAACATTCCCTGCTGCATCTCTGAGAATAGCCTTTACTAGCCGACCATTACTGTTCAGAAACCTGAAGGACAAGATCCCAATGTTGACCAACTCTATCTGTGTTTATCAACTCAACTGCTCGTGTGGAGCTAGGTATATCGGTCGTTCGACTCGAGTTTCGTCCAAGAGGGTGCAAGAACACTATCCTGCATGTTTACGAAGAGGTGGAAGTGGAGCAATAAGAAGCGCGATCATTGAACATCTGGTCGATAATGATCGCCCTATCTCTATAGACTCCGTCTTTAAAGTCATCTACAAGGCAAAGAGTAATTTACCCAAATCCCTACGTACTCGACTCATCTGTATTGCTGAAGTTTTTGCTATCGAAACAGAAAAGCCAGATCTTTGTGTACAGAAAAAAGTTCGTTCAGCCCATCCAACTTTCATGGTCTTTATTCCTCTAAGTATGGTAATCCCCAATCATATTTTGACTCTCCACCAATTTTTAATTTTTTAATTTTGTCTATTCAATATGTAGTCTCCTGCTTATTAAGTCAATTGTTACCATTACTACTCTCACTTTGAACTATCCCCGGTATTATTTCACTTGCTCCACTTGTCATTCTAAATCAATTTTTTTTACAATGTTAAATTCTATGCAATTAAATTTCACACAATATTACGTAACGTTTTTATTTTATTCGATTTGTCTACTAATCCTATAGTTGCACACACACGCTCTACTAAGTTCTATCCATCCTATAAATTATTCTATATATGACATTTTAGTTTTAATTGCATTTCATACTATTATTATTATTGTTTCATGCATTCACACCTGAGATTCAATTCCCTCACCGGATATAACTTATTAAAAACCATATATATATACGATTATACAGACTGATGGTAAATTCGTTGAAAAGAGTCTCTTCGTTAAATCACTTGTTTTGATTTCCTATATATATTGCCACAAATTGCCACTCACCCTCCATGTAGCAAACAAAGCAAGAGAGGGGAGTAAACACAGACTCAAAAGAGAGAGAGAGAGATAATAAACAGAAGTGTGAATGAGGCAAAAAGAATAGTAATGTGGAAGAACAACAGAGTTTTACTGGATATGATCAATCCCAAAGAGTGAATGCATCTGCGCTAGCTATTGACAACGACGATTCTGAGCCATATCACCAATTGCCTCCAACCTTCATTGGTTCTTACCATCTCCAGGAAAGCAGCCAGAAAGCCAATCTATTCCCTCCCCCCTTAGTGGTTGCCTGGCTTAAACTAACTGTTATGGATTTCATTGACTAATGAAGCTATCTTTTGGTTTGACCACCAACAGCTAACTCATTTCCAACCTGATCCTATATCAGTCAACTAGGTCCATATTGATATGTTTGTTAGAAATATGAAATTACATAGTACCACAGCGACCAAGTATTACACACACATATTAATCAGTCAACTAACAGTGCCCGTCTGTCGAGGAAGGCGATGGCTAGACAGGCTTACACAACACATGTCATAACCATCTCAATCGATTTAACTGCACAATCTCGTCAATTGATATTCCTTACAGCTCACCTAGTATTCGACCAAAAACTCTTCCAATATTTGTCACTCTATTATAACCCACGTAGCACGGCGGATAGAACGCAGCCACCTATGATCAAAGACAACTAGCAAGTGTTCTCATGTCTTCCACTCTCAATGGCCATCTCTCGCTCACAGCCAGTCATAAAGGAGGACGAACTGGACTGAATGCAGTACACACGCCCTTTGGTCGATAGCCAGTCAGATATCACGTCTACTAAGCCAGGGACGGCATAAACTGGCATATGCGAAACTAGCCCTCTGTAACCGTACTGAGATTTCGTCAGAGATCAACCCGTTGGCACTGGTTGATGCAACTTCCCAAATAAGTGAAGTGATCAACACGCTCTAACAACTACTTCACTCCCTATTTCTAAGCTAGGAGTGAGTCAATGTAGTCCAGTCCTGTAGCATCATCATGCATATGGCGGGAGCGAATCTCATCCCAAACATTCGTAGATTGCAGCTCAAGGTGTTCAGAAGACTCTGCACTTTGTCAGCGTCCTCGCCAAGAAGGACTGTATCATCTGCATATTCTAAGTCAACGAGATGATTTTCTGTCGGTAGCAAGTCAATCCCTGAGTCTCTGAAGTGAGTTAGGGTTAAATCCATCGGTACATCTATGATGAAATGAAATAGAAATAGGGACAATGGGCATCCTTGACGGACTCTCCTACTACTAGTTGTCACCATGATTGCACAGCTTGATAATAAATTCGTTGTTTAAAAAAGTCTCTTCGCGGAATATATTTGTGTTCTTAACTTACTGAAATAACCACCACAAAAACAAAAGACAATCAACAAAAATAGAATCCCAACCATAATAATAATAATCTCAAACATTACCATTATGCAAGATATGCAAGTGATGAATAGCAACAAGTTGGCAGAAGAAGCATCCAGAGAAGATACGACTTCAGGTGAACATAGATAAAACAGAGGTAGGTGATGAAGATTCCTGGCCAACACCAACAGTAACAACAACAGACAACAATCAGCCAGCATAAATGGGAGGAACCTGAAAGAAACAACCTCCTTTGCCTACAGACCTACCAGGGAAGCATCGTTTCAACTACAGGTAGAACTAACGAGGATATCAACGCAGCGAGGACCGGAAAAGCAAGACAAGCTTTCATTACTCTCATCAAGTTTGTGTGGAGGTCAACAGCACTCAGCATCAAAAATAAGGTCCGGGTTTTCAACTCCAATGTGAAGTCAGTCAGGGCTACTATACGGATCAGAGACTTGGCCAGTGTTTCATAAAGAGAATCTCAAACAAACTACAAACCTTCATCAACAGTTAGTTGTCTTCGCTCAATGCTCAAGATCAAATGGCCAGAAAAGATCAGCAATAGGGATCTCTGGCAATGAGCGAACCAACACAGCAGGAATCGATTGTGAAACAAATAGGCAGGGATGAATAGAGATGGATTGGATTGTGGCCATACTCTGAGGAAACAAACCATCAAGTGACATCACACGACAGGCCATTGCTTGAGTGGAACCCGAACAGGAAGTGGCGAGGTGGTCGTCCAAAAGTGACTTGGAGCTGGTGATATGAAGAGGAGATGAAAGCATTTGGGCAGACTTGGAGCCAGGTGAAAACTCTAGCAGAGAACCGAATGCAATGGAGACGCGCGGCTGAAGTCCTATGTTCCTCTAGGAATTAAAGGAAATAATAATAAACAATAATAATAATTACCATTATGTTGTTCATTAGATTCAGATATCTTCTCCAATAATGTTTTTGATTTCTTTTTACGTTTTTTACTCTGTGATTTAGGTTTCTCGTATAAATTTAATATTTTATCAATATCTTCAGCGAAAGACATATTCAGCATACGATCGGCTTCGTCTAGAACAAAATGACGAATTGTTGACAGTTGATGAGCAGAAAAATTTGGCGATTGCTTCAAATGATCAACTAGACGTCCGGGAGTAGCTAATAAGATTGGAAAGAAAGGAAAGATGATGGTGGTGATAACGATGGTGATGATGACAAGATTATTTTAGCCATCGATATGCCTTATAGTAATTAACGCGTCGATTTAATTGTATTCTCTAAACTGTGTGACGGTTTAATTACGAAGCTTTCGGTATCCTTCTAGGCGACAACATCGCTTCAGATCAGGTTTTAGTAAGAAATAAACTTGTTTATATGTATCTGAGGGAGCAGTTACATTGGAAGGACAGAAAGAAAGGCATATCTACGATTTTCTGAACATGTCTAAAGGGAACAAATGCTTTAAACAGTGCCATCGCCAGGCATCTCCTTAACACGGATCATGAAGTGGACGTCGAAATTATCAATAGGCAAAAGAACTCAAATTTTCCTCAAGTTTGTTAAAGCCATTTCTATCAAGCGCCTGAAACCTGATGTGTGCGTTCAGAAAGAAGCAGTTATCAGTCTTTCTTTGCCCTGTCTGGTAACTGGATATTTTTCATCTCTGTTTCATCTGAATGCGAAATGCTGAAAGGTTTCCATTGTGTATGATTATTGTTGTTCGGGAAACAGTGTTCACTAATATACATATATATACATTACTGTATGCATATACTGATCGATTGATTTTTGTTTAAAATGAACTCTGTGCAAGTATGTTAAAACTGTTGTTGTAGATATATTTGATAATGTCTTTGACCTAAAAGCAGCTGAAGAGAAGGCAACGAAATAAAAAAATGGTACCACTTTATGCTGCTAAAATTGTAGTTCTTGCTTTGTTCAAATGCATTTGAATTGAGCAACGAATATCCTTTTCAATAATTTCCTCTTCTGCCTCTACAATTATATACGTATGTTTATAAACATAGAATATTCTAGAATAGTAGTCAATAAAAATATTGGTGTTTTTTAAATAATATCCACAAATTAAGTAAGATCACAATGGAATCACAGTTCATTAAAGATGCTTAAATTATAATAACAATAATAAAGATATAGTAGCAAATAGAATACCAACTAAAATTAAGGAAATTTCTACAAAAAATTGAGGATCAGTAGAACCTTGATGGTCAGGGTAAGGAAAATGCCTGAAGTAGCTTCTTTTGGACGCATAAATTAGGCTTCTTAATGTGGATCCCAACAGCCAGCCTCAGCAATATGTAGTAGACGAACTCTCAAGGTGAAGTTAAGATTAACTGGTATACGGTAAAGCAATTTGAAGGCCGCTTCGTTAACACCAATCTTGTGTTCTGTATCCACAAGATGAGATAGAATAGAACTATGAATGGATTTTGTTTATCCTTTACTTAATCACGCAAAGTGATGTTCGGAAATTCGACAAGAAACACACCCAATTGTACAACCTATATACAGTGTGTCGGTAGCACAGCGGTAGAATTCTCGCCAACCATGCCCCATGTGGTCCGGGGTTCGATCCCTGGCCAATGATGCACCCGTTTGCCTCGCCAAGCCAGTAATAAGACTGGTAAAGATGCACGGTTGGGCATGAGGTTGGCTAGCAACCCCATCCCGTAAAAATAAAACAACCACTGCTGCCGAAACTTCAAGACCGTAGCTTGAAGCTATATGTTCCACTTGGAACGTGAAGGAATAAAAAAAGTACATGAATGATGATATAATTGTATCTTTCTACTGAAAACCTGTTTTGTCGTGATTGGTTGTTAATTTACCTCTCTACTGATCATTATTTTTTATTGAATTGGACATGCGATTTATTTTTTATTAGTTGGTAAATTTGGTCTATAATAGTGCATTTGTTAATCGCTGGCTGATTCTAGAAATTCTCGTTCAATAATCAAATATAAGAAAAGATAAAAGGAACACCTACGGAGTCGTTCATATCAGGATTAATAGCTGAAGTCGCTATGCAAAGATTACCATTAATAGCTCTCCCTACCCATAGTTAAACCGAAAATCTGGATACATTACGTTGATGATATATTTGTAATAATTAAAAGAAACGAGATTTGGAATGCACTCACAAATGAATAAACGATATATTTGAAGACACGTTAAATTAACCATGAGAGAAGAAGAATTAGACAACAAAATCCCATTCTTAGATGTCTTCCTCAATCAAGAAAACTAACACAGAAGATCTGGAAACACAAGTATACAGAAAATCAACACACACACACACAGATCAAATATTACAATACTATAATAGCAATAACTCAATGACTCACAAAAGAAACTGTGTGCAGACATTGTTTAAAAGAGTTCAAACACACACACACTGCATCACTCCAACGCTGAAGAGAATGGAGGAAAAATAGCCACTAACCGTCTTTAAAATGAATGGACATCCCCGCCATAATTTCATCAAAAAGTGTTTAAACTCAATTCATAACACCAACAAGAAACTATCATCAAAGACCACAAGAAAATTCATCCTACCACATATAAAGAATATATCTGAAATAACGCCTGTAATATTAAGACCATCTGAAACAGACCGTCTGTTTTCGACATAGAACTTTGCACATGAATGCGGCAGTTCAAGTCACCACACTCCACATAGCACAAAAAGAAAGAGAAGAAAGTAGAAGAAATGCATAATAGAGACAGCAAACAGAGGTGGGAGACAAAGGAATAGTTATAACGAAGAACAATATAGTTTTTGATTGGAAATCATAAGTCACAAGGAGTGGATGCATCTGCACCAGACATTGAGAACGATTTTGAGCCATATCACCAATTGCTTCCAGCCATTAGTTTTTACCGTCCCGAAGACCCCAACCAGGAAGTCTACACCTTGCTACGTGGCTGGTTTAAACTAACTGTTGTGGATTTTATCGACTGGTGCCATGGTTTGGTTCGACCTCCGCTAGCTCTTTTCCGCACTGACCCTATGTCAGCTAAAATTGCCCGTCATTCGAGGCTAGGGATACGTAACACATGTCCTAGCCATCTCAATTGGTGTAACTTCACAGCCTCGTCGATTGATTCCCCCTTTTTACCTAGAACTCGACGCCTAATCTCAATGTTGCTCGCCTTATTATACCACTTTACACGGGAGATAGAACGCAGCCACCTATGATCAAAGACAACTAGCAAGTGTTCTCATGTCTTCCACTCTCAATGGCCATCTCTCGCTCACAGCCAGTCATAAAGGAGGACGAACTGGACTGAATGCAGTACACACGCCCTTTGGTCGATAGCCAGTCAGATATCACGTCTACTAAGCCAGGGACGGCATAAACTGGCATATGCGAAACTAGCCCTCTGTAACCGTACTGAGATTTCGTCAGAGATCAACCCGTTGGCACTGGTTGATGCAACTTCCCAAATAAGTGAAGTGATCAACACGCTCCAACAACTACTTCACTCCCTATTTCTAAGCTAGGAGTGAGTCAATGTAGTCCAGTCCTGTAGCATCATCATGCATACGGCGGGAGCGAATCTCATCCCAAACATTCGTAGATTGCAGCTCAAGGTGTTCAGAAGACTCTGCACTTTGTCAGCGTCCTCGCCAAGAAGGACTGTATCATCTGCATATTCTAAGTCAACGAGATGATTTTCTGTCGGTAGCAAGTCAATCCCTGAGTCTCTGAAGTGAGTTAGGGTTAAATCCATCGGTACATCTATGATGAAATTGAATAGAAACGGGGATAATGGGCATCCTTGACGGACACCACTAGTCGTCACCACTTCAGATGACAACTCGCCATAAGCCCTCAGCTGGCTGGCTGCATGAGTTCGAGTAGAGTGCCTTGATCAGTGCAATGTATTTCCTCGGAATTCCCTTTACAGCCAAGCATCGCCAGAGTACCTCTCGATCGACAGAATCGAATGCCACCTTTAGGTCAAGAAATATAACGATTGTTGGACGCCCGTAAGAATGGCTTTGTTCTAGAATCTGTCGAAGGGTGAAGGGAGATATGATCAATACACCTTCTTCCTGGTCTAAAGCCTTCCTGGCTCTCTCGTGTTTGTGCCTCCCGAGCACCATTTAGTCTACGCAATATTATTGAGCCTAGGACTTCAGATGCTTTATTAGTCAAGCTAATCCCTGTGTGATTATCACAGGAAGACTTGAAACAGACATAGATCAGAAACCAGCACAATCACTTCATTTGATATTATGCAAACAGAAAGATCCACTCAACAGAAAAAGAAAGTTAATGCCATCCACAAAATAAATTGCACAAACTGTGATAAACACTACATCGGTTAAAGTTGGCGTCCCCTTCGAATCCGAATCCAAGAACACAAATTACCTGTGAATAGACACGATATGTACTCTTCCATATCAATGCATGTAGTTAATTATGCGATATGTATCAACATGATGTGTGTTTTGTTTTTGACAGTCTATTATATTTTGCTATGTGTATATGGATCGATATTTCATTATAACTGACAATATACTTTTGTCTGTCCACTAACTAAATAAACATGTATGACCTTGTTATCACATGACATTACAACCAATCACGTTAAGACTGGCTATTTATTGGTTCATGTGTATAAGTCATTTTCATATATACTTTTGTACTGTATACTTGTTTATTCTTGTTCCCACGTTTCGTACACTACGTACCATTTCACTCACACTCTTGTGTGACATTTATTTTCCTTGTCTGGAAAATATAAGTATCATCGTAAACCTGGTGGTCTTCTGATTTCCCTCTTTCCGCGTCAGGACTATTAACTACTCGACGAGTACATAACATAATTGGCGACGGGGAAAACTCTAATAACTCACCCAGCAGCAGTACATAACATTATGGACACCAATATGAGTAGGAGAATGTAGAAATTTTAAATAGAGGAAACACCAAAAATACTGTCAGGGGATTTCTAGAAGCCTGTTACTCAGAAGATCATAGGTGCCTGCGCTCTATCTCCCGTGTGAAGTGGTATAATAAGGTGAGCAATATTGACGTTAGGAATCGGTCGAGTGCTAGGTAGGTGGGAGGGGAAATCAATCGACGAGGCTACATAAACTGAGATGGTTAGGAAATGTGTTACGCATG